TCTCAATAGAGGAATATAAAATGGTTGAAAGACACTAAAGAAAATGTTCAACATCCTTAGCCATCAGGGAAATTTAACTCAAAACGTCTCTAAGATACCATCTTGCACTGGCCAGAATGGCTAAAATCAAAATTACTAATGACAGTCTATGCTGGAGAGGATGTGGAGAAAGACGAACACTCCCCCACTGCTGGTGGGAGTGCAAAATTGTATGACCACTTTGGAAATCAGTATGGCGGTTTCTCAGGAAAATGATAATCAGTCTACTTCAAGATCCAGCAATTCCACTCTTGGGCATATACCTAAAGAATGCACATTCATACAACAAGCATATATATCCAACTATGTTGATAGCAGTGTTGTTTGTAATAGCCAGAACCTGGAAGCAACCTTGATGCCCCTCAACAGAAGAATGGATGGAGAAAATGTGGTACATTTACACAATGGAGTATTACTCAATGGAAAAAAATGAAATCTTGAAATTCTCAGGCAAAAGGATGGAACCAGAAGAAACCATCCTGAGCGAGGTAACCCAGTCACAAAAAGACAAAAATAGTATGTACTCACTCATATATGGATTTTAGACCTAGGGCAAAAGAGTGCCAGCCTACAATCCACATTGCCAGAGAAGCTAGAAAACAAGGAGGACCCCAAGAGAGACAGACATACATGGTCCTCCGGAGAAGGCGAAAGGGACAGTATCTCCTGAACTAATTGGGAGCTTAAGGGAAGGGGGGAGAGAGTTAGAAGAAAGAGAAGGGGAGAAGAGGAGGGAAGGGGAGGACAGGATAGAGCAGGAAGATTGAGTCAGGGGAAGAATAGAGGAGAGCAAGAAAAGAGATACCATAAGAGAGGGAGTCATTATAGGTCTAAAGAGAAATCTGGCACTAGGGAAATATCCAGAGATCTATAAGGTTGACCCCAACTAATAATCTAAGCAATAGTCGAGAGGCTATAAATGCCCTTCTCCAATAATGAGATTGATGACTACCTTATATGCCATCATAGAACCTTCATCCAGTAGCTGACGGAAGCAGAAGCAGACACCCACAGCTAAACGCTGAGCTGAACTCAGGAATTCAGTTGCAGAGAGGAAGGAGTGATGAGCAAAGGGGTCAAGACCAGGCTGGAGAAACCCACAGAAACAACTTACCTGAAAAGGCAGAGCTCATGGACCCCAGACTGATAGTTGGGAAACCAGAATAGGACTCTTCCAGACCCTGAAAGAGGATGTCAGTTTGGAGGTCTGGTTAAGCTATGGGGCCTCAGGTAGTGGATCAGTATTTATCCCTAGCATACGAATGAACTTTGGGAACCCATTCCACATAGAGGGATGCTCTCTTAGTCTAGACACATGGAGGAGGGTCTAGGCCCTGCTCCAAAGGATATGACTTTAAAGATTCCCCCATGGAAGGTCTCACCCTCCCTGGGGAGCAGAAAGGGGACAGGGGATGGGATAGGGGGTTAGTTGGGGGCAGGGGAGCAGGGTAGGGAGAGGGAACTGGGATTGGCATATAAAAGAAGCTTGTTTCCAATTTAAATTTAAAAAATTAAAAAAATAAATAAAGGCAGAATGAAAGAGGAAGATACCCCATGTCTTCCACTGACCTCTGTATGTGCAAGTACAAGGATATGAACACAAGAACAAATACATACACACAAATAGAGGGATGGATTGATGAGAGAGAGGGAGAGGGAGAGAGAGAGAGAGAGAGAGAGACAGACAGAGAGAGAGAGAGAGAGAGAGAGAGAGAGAGAGAGAGAGAGAGAGAGAGAGAGAGAGAGAGAGAGAGAGAGAGAGAGAGAGAAAGCCCGTAGTTGTATCATTATGGTACATACAAATACAGCTGCACTCATAAGAGACTGATGCAAGGAACAGATGTCATAGTTTAAAAAAAAAAAGTTGTCCCCAGAGAGTCCCCTCCCCCACAGGTCCTAAGGCTGAGCCTAATCCTCCATAAATCCCCAGCCTTTCTGCTGAGGCTGGGCTGTTGTCCTAAGAGGATTGGAGCATTTGCTAAATTAGTCCTGTCCAGGGACACAGGAAACAGACTGCATACGGTGGAAGAAGAAAGCACTAAGAGAAACAGGCAGCTGTGGAGGCAAGGGCAGAAATGGAAAGCAGGGGGACAGCCAGAAACAACAGACCAAGCACACCGCCGTAATCCCAGCAGGATATATGGAGAGACGGCTCAGTGTCTAAGAGAACTGGCTGCTCTTCCAGAAGACGCGGGTTTGATTCCACATGGTTGGACATAATCCTGTATAACCCCAGTCCCAGGGAATTGGATATGCTTCAATATGACCTACACAGACATGCATATAAGCAAAATACCCATATACATCACTAGTATATTTTAGCTGAAGGGATGCCATATCCCGAGAAAGGACCAGCGAAGCCCAGTCTTCCCAATCCCAGATGTGGGATGTGGTGAATGTCTTGCCTCCCCATCCCTTGCAGTCTCCTCACATGTAATAATAGTGTCTGTCTGGTGCATTGCTGTGATGATTCCAACAGTTAGGATTTGACTTAGTTTGTTTTTGCTGCATTAGGAATTGACCAGGATGTCCAACACTGTAGATTAGCACTGTACCACTAAACCATGTCTTCAACACCTCATTGGGGGACTCTAGGCAGGGACTCTGGAAGCCTTCTTGAAGCCATCTTTGCACCACCGACTGGTCTCTGTGTCATCAATCCCGACACCCTCCCAACATTCTCAGACACAGGCTGCGCAGCTGGCGCGGTACTCTACCACTGAGCCACACTGCCTGACTCTTTTAAAACTTCTGTAATGAGGTCTCATTAAGTTTCCTAGGCAGGTCTTAAACTTGAGATCCTCCTCCTCAGCTCCCAAGTGCCAGGATCCCAAGCCTAGCCTACCCACCCTGATCCTATGTGATAAGTAAGTTAGAGATCTTCTGTCCAAAGATTGTTCCTTCTTAGTTGATTTTCAGAAGCTAGTGAGAAAAAGCTTTGCCATAACAGAAAATAGGAGCACACTATGGGCAGAAAGGGCAGAGCAAATCTTAATTTCTTCCCACCTAACCAAGTTTACCACTCAAAAACACACACACACACACACACACACAGAAACAAAAAGAAAAAAAATCACCCAGATTTCAGTGGGATCCAACATTTTTAATCAGTTTCACTCTGGGTAGCCCAGGAAGGTAGCCCTAAGAAGCCAGAAAGTGGGAAAGAAAGGAACAGAGAAGCTAACATCAAATGAGGGGGACTCCTGACCTCATTGTCCTATGGCCATTGCCTTGCCAGTCTTACGACTTGGAAAGTAGGATTTGCAGGGGAAAGGGGTATTATGTAGCCCAGGCTGGCCTCAAACTTGTAATGTAACTTAGGATGGCCATAAACTCATAATCCCCAGCCTCTACATGTCTGTGTTGAGATCCCAAACACATGCCACCACTCCTGGCTTATGAAATAGAATGTGGAACTCTATGGACATCTAAAAGACCTCCACCCAGGTAGGTCCATGAATTGGACTTTCCAGCCTCTTGATGAGATTCAGTTTCTACAGACATCTGTAAGACCCCAGCACTGGTGCTGCCTCAATCTGACCCTGGGAACCAGTTCTAGACTGGGTTCTAGAACATTCTATGCATCTTTCAAGTCCTCCCCAATAGTCACACCAAACTTCTTTTGCATTTTGTTTTTATACAAGGCAACCTCCCAGCTCCGTTCCGTGGCACACGCCTGTAATATCCATGGATACAGATATGTAAGTCATATATACACATAAGTCAAATGAACAGTCCCCTAAACCTACCGTGTAAACCTGACATTTGCTAACTAACTGTACAAAATCTCCAAGTGAATTTAGAGGTTTTACTCTGCAGCCCAGGCTGGCCTTATATTCCCAGCAATCCCCCTGCCTCAGTTTCTTCCATTCTAGGATTACAAACATTGAGTCAGCACCTGACTTAGGGCACCGGCAGTTCTGACGGATTTCCTGTCTCCTGGGAGCACGTGCTCAACCCCATAACTGACATCTGGGGGAAAGCAGCAGATGCAGGGATCACAATCATGACAACTCCTGATCGCTTGCTGCTGGGCTGTCTCAGAAGAGGAAGGCGCCTCTTTCATTGATCAATCAGGGGAAGGCTGTTTGGGAGCTAGGCTCTCTGAATGGGCTGAGGCTGGACTGAACCTGAGGCTGAATTGTCCACAGCCTTCGGCAGGATTACTACCTCCTGTCCCTTACTGGGGGCTACTCTCTGGAATCTAAGCTGGAGGAGGCAAAGGGTATGCGTCAGCTGGAAGGGGGGACCGGAAGTCTCTTCTACAAGATCTGAAACTTCCAGGCACTCTGATCTTTGTAGTCCAGAGGGTCCATGGGGTTGTAGGTAAATTTCCAGGTGCCTGTGGGATCCTTGAATTCCAGGCTGTCCACGGGGCTGTAGGTGCTGTAGCTCTGGCCTGACAAGGAGGTGGGGGATTGGGCCAGGGATGGCCCCACGGAGGGACCTGAGAGAGGGCTGAGAGCTGGGCCTCCCAGCTGGGGCACCATGGGAGAAAGGTAAGGATCCAGCCCGCTGAAATAAGAGCTTGGAGACGCGTAAGCTGCGGGGGAAGGGCAGAAAGCAGAGGCAGGAGCATAGGTCATGGCATAGGGGGCTGACGTGAGAGAGGATCCTGAGGCCACTAGCCCAGCTCGCTGGGCCTCAGACAAAGGAGACTCCGAGGCTGGACTCCAAATGGACACAGTGGCCACTGCCGTGGTAGGTGAGCCTGAGGGGCCCGGCAGAGATGGGCTGTAGGAATCTGAGATGCCCAAGGGGTCTGTACAAACATCTGTGGAGGGCCGTGGGGATGTGCCGGCCTTCCTCTTCGCTGGACGAGCCTTGGCCTGTCCCCCGGGGCTGCTGCTGCTGCTGCTGCTGTTTCTGCTGCTGCCGCTGCTGCCTGCACTTTGCCCTGCGATTCTTAAACCAGACCTAGAGGGAGAGAGGGAAGACCAGGGCGAATAAAATGTGAAAAGACCTCCGAGTCGTCAGGTGCCAAGGGAAGACAAGGCTGATGGAAAGAGCCGAACTTTGCCAGTCTGCATCCAACAACGTACTAGGTGGTTTTGTGCGACACCTTGACACAAGCTACAGTCATCAGAGAAGGAGGGAGCCTCGGCTGAGGAAATGCCTCCCTGAGATCCAGCTGGAAGACATTTTCTCATTTAGTGATCAATGAGGGAGGGTCCAGCCCATGGTGGGTGGTGCCGTCCCTGGACTGCTGCTGGTCCTGGGTTCTGAGAAGGTGGTTGAGCAAGCCACTCGGAAGCAAGTCAGCAGGCAGCTCCCTCCATGGCCTCTCCACCAGCTCCTGCTTCCGGGATCCTGTCCTGTCCCGACTTCGTTCAGTGATGAACAGCAATGCTGAAGTGTCAGCTAATAAATCCTTTCCTCCCCGCACGGCTTTTGGCCATGGTGTTTCATCCCAACAATAGAAACCCTAACTAACACTCCATCCAATTATGCATGTATGTACCCATGCACACAGCAACCTACATGCACTGATCATACATATTTCACACATGCAAGCAATCATACGTACACACATATATCAGTCTACCTGCATTATCTACCAGCTTGATTGATCACACATCCATGGATACAATCATGTACATATATGCATGCAACCATACACATATACACATACATACCTACATGCACTCGGCCACCTACCTGATCACATGAATATCTATGTAATCATGTATTGTCCTCACCCGTATACAATCATGCACATATATACACATTATATTGGCATGCTCCTGCTCATGAATATGTACATGCAATCATACTCACAATCATACATTCGATATATCATACTTGTATATGCTCATTAGCACATCCCATACATGCATGCAATTTTACATATAGATACAATACACTAGGGCTAGGGATGTAGCTCAATGGTAGAGCATTTGCCTGGCGATGCAGAGCTCTGGCTTCAATCTCCCACACTGCAGAACACACACACACACACACACACACACACACACACACACACACACACACACGCTTCTCTCACTCGCCTACTCTGCTACTTAAAGGCGGCATCAGAGGGGTTAATATTCTTCCACTGTGAGGAATATTAGTGTCACAGTAAATGAGTAAGCCAGACAATAGCAGTGGAGGCTCACTATGTAGCCCAGACCAGTCTCACATTCAAGGCACTCCTCCTGCCTCTGCCTCCTACATGCTGAGATGACAGGAGTGAGCCACCATGCTTTCTGTGGCATTCTAGAACTACACGTGGAAGATGCTGTTAAGTAGGGAAACAGTCACACTGGAGTTTTGGGGTGGACCTAAACGCACTATGCTCCACGTGGGTCTCCTTGGCTTATAAGGTGACTGGATTGAAGGGCTGGTTGATTAATGAGCATGATGATGGGACCAGTCCGGTGAAGCTAGGCTTAATGAGGCAGGCCTGTTGTAATCCTGCTCTTCAGGAGGCTGACAAGAGAAGACCCAAAGCTGAAGGTCTGAGGGGCTGTAGAGTGAGTTCAAGGTCAGCCTGGGCAACTTACTGAGGCCGTCTCACAATGCCAATGATGCAATGGGCAGCCCCACACCCATGTGCAAATGGGCAGCACAATGGACGGCCCCACACCCATGTGCAAATGGGCAGCACAATGGACGGCCCCACACCCATGTGCAAATGGGCAGCACAATGGACGGCCCCACACCCATGTGCAAATGGGCAGCACAAATGGATCCAGAGGGCTGTAAAAGAAGATGAGGAAGAGGAGGAAAATAAAACGACATGAATGAAATTGAGCAGGAAGTGGAGGTGGGGTCCTGGAGAAGCTGGAGGGGGAAGACAGGGTGGATATGATCAACACATTGTACCGCTGTATGAAATTACCAAATAATGCCAGGCAGTGGTGGTGCACACCTTTAATCTCAGCACTTGGGAGATAGAGACAAGCAGATCTCTGTGAGTTGGAAGTCAGCCTGGTCTACAAAGCTAGTTCTAAGACAGCTAGGGCTGTTACACAGAGAAACCCAATCTCAAAGAACCAAAAATAAAAAATAAAATGCCAAATAATAAAATTGTATTGCTTACTTAATTTTTTTGAAATTATAATTACATCATTTCCACATCCTCTTTCCAAACCAAAGAATAGTTAAAATATAATAATACGATAACAAAACAGGCTAGAGAAATGGTTCAGGGGTTAAGAGCACATGTTGATTTTGCAGAGGACCTGGGTTCAGTTCCCAGCACCCACATTGCATGGCTAACTCCAGCTCCAGGGGATCTGATGACCTCCTCTGGCCTCCCCAGGCTCTGCACTCATATGTACACACACATGAATATAATTCAGACTAAATCTCTAACACGGTACAGTGGCACAACACCTTTAATCTCAGCACTTAGGAATCAGAAACCTGTGGATGATTTTGTTTGTTTGTTTGTTTGTTTTCGAGACAGGGTTTCTCTGTGGCTTTGGAGGCTGTCCTGGAACTCGCTCTGTAGACCAGGCTGGCCTCGAACTCACAGAGATCTGCCTGCCTCTGCCTCCCGAGTGCTGGGATTAAAGGCATGCGCCACCAATGCCCGGCCGCCTGTGGATGATTGACGGTGAGTTCAAAGCCAGCCTGGTCTACATAATAAGACCTTGTCTCTCATGCTGCGTGGTGGTGACACTCTTTTAATCCCAGCACCTGGGAGGCAGAGGCAGGCAGATCTCTGAGTCTGACGGTAGCCTGATCTACAGAAAGAGTTCCAGGACAGTCAAGGCTACACTGAGAAACCCTGTCTTTTTTGGGGGGACGGGGGATTTGAGACAGGGTTTCTCTGTGGCTTTGGAGGCTGTCCTAGAACTAGCTCTTGTAGACCAGGCTGGTCTCGAACTCAGAGATCAGCCTGCCTCTGCCTCTGCCTTCCGAGTGCTGGGACTGAAGGCATGGGCCACCACCACCCAGCAAGAAACCCTGTCTTGAAAACCAAAAAAATAAAATAATAAAATAAAGCCAAGGCAGTGGTGGTGCACTCCTTTAATCCCAGCACTGGGAGGCAGAGATAGGTGGTGGATCTCTAAGACCAGTCTGGTCTACACAGGGAGTTCCAGGATGGCCAGGGCTACACAGAGAAACACTGTCTTGAAAAAGGAAGGAAGAGAAGGGTTTGGGGAGGAGGAGAAAGAAGGAGAGGCAAGTGGCTTAAGGGGAGTGAGGAGTTCAGGCGACTTCATAATGTGACTGTTACCCTGCGGTCTCTTTTTATCTCCACCCACAAAAGGTCACAGTAAGGGGCCGGGCGGTGGTGGCGCACGCCTTTAATCTCAGCACTCGGGAAGCAGAGGCAGGCGGATCTCTGTGAGTTGGAGGCCAGCCTGGTCTACAGAGCGAGTTCCAGGACAGGCTCCAAAGCTACAGAGAAACCCTGTCTCGAAACTATTTGGGAAAAAAACACACACACACACACACACAGTAAGGAGGGGTCCAGAACATCCTACCTGGACCCTGGACTCAGGCAGGTTGATCTTGAGAGCCACCTCCTCGCGCGCATACACATCCGGGTACTGGGTCTTGGAGAAGAGGGCCTCCAGCTCCTCCAGCTGGCTTCTGGTGAACGTGGTTCGCTCCCGCCGCTGCTTCCTAGGGGCGCCTGCCAACCGGCGAGTGAAAGAACCCTCAGCTTAGCCTAGGTCTGCTCGCTGGACGCCCTGAGGTCCAGTGGGAGAGCTGCCCTGTCCCTTTCTGTACATGCATCTGCCCAAACAAGGGGCTGTGTTTATTCCCATGCCTTCTGTCGCCAGCTCAAGTCTCCAGAGGCTTCCAGTCAAATGGCCAACAGGAGGGAACTGCTTTTAGCCCTGCAAGGATTTGTCCCTCTCTGTTCCCATTCCTCTCCTACCTCCTTTCCCTCCTCCTCTCTCTTCCCCTTCTCTTTCTTCGCAGCAGGATTTCATTATGTAGCCCAGGCTGACTCTAAAATCCTGGGATTGAGTGATCCTCCTGCCTCAGCCTCCCAAATAGCTGAGACTACAGGCAGGAGCCGCTGCGCCAGACTCTGCTTCTGAACCTTATTATTCGTAAAAACCACGTCTTCATGGCCAGGTAGTGGTGGCGTGTGCCGCGTGCCTTTAAATCCAGCATTCCGGAGGTAGAGGGAGGCGGATCTAATGAGTTCGGGGCCATCCTGGTCTACAAAGCGAATTCCAGAACAGGCTTCAGGGCTACACAGAGAAACCCTGTCTCAAAGAACCAAAAAAAAAAAAAAAAAAAAAAAAAGAGAGAGAGAGAGACATGCCGGGCGGCGGTGGCACACACCTTTAATCCCAGCACTCGGGAGGCAGAGGCAGGCGGATCTCTGTGAATTAGAGACCGGCCTGGTCTACCGAGTGAGTTCCAGGACAGGCTCCAAAACAATACAGAGAAACCCTGTCTCAAAAAAAAAAACAAAAAAAAAAAAAAACAAGAGAGACATATTGAGTAGAAACATGATGTTGTTAATATAACCAAGCACTTCAGGCCATAAAAGTGATGTCTCTATGATTCGACTTAATGTAAAAGAAACTGGGATAGCAAGACGGTACAGCATGTAAAGTCGATTATATACAAGCCTGAAGACCTGAGTTCAGTCCCTGGGAACCACAAAAGGTAGAAGCAACAAAATAACTCCCAAGTCATCCTCAGATCTCTGCAAGACAGGCAAGGCACTTGGGGCCCCTGCCCTCCAGCCTGCACGCAAAAATTAATGCAGCAGTTTTTTGTTCTCTAAACAAAGAAAAAGGCCAAATCAGGTGGCTCCTGCCTTTAATTCCACTCAGGAGGCAGAAGCAGGACCATTTCTGAATTAAAAAAAAAAAAAAGCCGTAGCCGGGCATTGGTGGAGTATGCCTTTAATCCCAGCACTTGGGAGGCAGAGGCAGGTAGATAGATCTCTGTGAGTTTGAGACCAGCCTGTTCTACAAGATCTAGCTCCAGGACAGCTCCAAAGCCAGAGAAATCCTGTCTTGAAAAAAGCAAAACAAAACAAACAATAGTAATAATAATAATAAGTGAGTTTTCAGACCAGCTATGGTTACATAGTGAGAATTTGTCTCAAAAATGAAAGAAGGCAGCCGGGCGTTGGTGGCGCATGCCTTTAATCCCAGCACTTGGGAGGCAGAGGCAGGTGGATCTCTGTGAGTTCGAGGCCAGCCTGGTCTACAGAGTGAGTTCCAGGACAGCCTCCAAAGCCACAGAGAAACCCTGTCTCGAAAAACCAAAAAAAAAAAAAATGAAAGAAGGCATTTTTCAAAAATGAAGAAGACAGGAAGGAAGGGAGGAAGAGAAAAAAGGAAAGGAAGAAGAAAACTGTTAAATAATCATCAGTACCATAGTAGAGCATGATGGTGTAGGACTATAATCCCAGACCTCCAGAGACTGAATCAGGAGGCTGGGGGCTTGGCTCAGTGGTAGAGTCCCTTCCAAAAACCTCCCAGTGAGGGTGGCTCATGGCTCCATGGTAAAGTACCTGCCTAGAATCCACAAGGCCCTGGATTCCGGCCCAAAAGCCTCTCCTCCAAAAATAAGAGACAAAGAAAAGATGGTACCATGGTCATCAGAACGCTCACTTCTCTTAGAAATAAATGTTTACAGATGGAAATCCCTATTGATTCTGTTTGCAGACCACTGCCCTTGCAATGTCAAGTCTATACACTCTCCTGAATCCCTGGGAAACATATTAAAGTCCCTCGAATACCATACATAACGCCACATTGCCCTACTACCCTACCCCCTCCACCCCACTAATGCTTTTCTCCTGAGGTCAGGGAACCTTGGGAGTTCCTAAAAAACAAGATGGGGATGGGAAGAAAGAGCACACTTACTTGAGTATGGGACAGCCTGGTGCATCAGGTCCACATTGGGGCCATTCAGAGCCAAGGCATTGACCGAATAGTGAGGTCCCGGATTCATGTACGCCATCATGATCTTCAGTGACTGAGGCCCAGATGGGGGCACCTACATACAAGAGAACAGGATGTCCACTCTTCTCACCGCCTGGGCACTCACATCCTGTTTCAGGGGCTCTTCGCAGGAACCAAGCTTACCCATTAACCAATCTCTCTCTCTCTCTCTCTCTCTCTGCAATGTTGGTTCTGACGCATTCATTTAATCCATTAAACACTTACACTGCAGAGACAGAGACAAGCAGATCTCTGTGAGTTCAAGACCAGCTTGGTCTACAGAGTGAGTTTCAGGGCCTTAGAATATAACTTTCGCTGGCCTGGAACTCTTGTTTGTTTGTTTGTTTGTTTTGTTTTTCCAAGACAGGGTTTCTTTGGTGCCTTGGCTGTCATGAAACTCACCCTGTAGAGATATCCACCTACCTCTGCCTCCTGAGTGCTGGGATTTAAGTATTGTTGACAAGGCCACAATACCCAACTTAAAACAAAAACAATGTTTTGGTAGGCGGTGGCGGCACACGCCTTTCACGCTAGCACTCAGGAGGCAGAGGCAGGCGGACCTCTGTGAATTCAAGGCCAGACTGGTCCACAGAGCGAGTTCCAGGGCAGCCAGAGGCCAGAGCTGTTTACAGAGAAACTCTGCCTTGGGGGTGGCTCTTTTTGGTTTTGTGCAGCAGGGTTCCTGTAGTCCAGGCTAACCTGACATTAAACTAGCCAAGGTTGATTTGGTATTTCCGACCTCCTGTCTCCACCTCACAAGTGCTGGGACTACAGACATTAGCCATCTCTCCAAGTGTAGAGTGTGTTTGTAAAGAAGCAGAGGGGAGGCCAAAATTCACCCCCAAATTTGTTCATCAGGTCACCTCAATATTTTCATTTCATTATTTTTTTTTTGAAAGAAGGTCTTATATAGCTCGGGTTAGCCTTAAATTTACCACGTCCCTGAGGATGACCTTGAACTCCTGATCCTCTTATTTCCACCTTCCAGGTGCCAAAATCCCAGGTCAGCACCACCATACCTGGATTATGTGGTGCTGGGTACCGAACCCAGGTCTTCACGAATGCTCAGCACACACTCTAGCTAATGAGCTGCATCCCCAGTTCCCACCTTGGTTTGTGTGTGTTTATGTTGTTTTGTTTGTTTTCGTTTTGGTTTTTCAAGACAGCATTCCTCTGTGTATACCTGCTGTCCCTGAACTCTCTACTCTGTAAACCAGGCTGGCCTTGAACTCACAGAGATCTGCCTGCTCTGCCTCTCCAGTGCTGAGACTAAGGGTGTGTGCCACCACCACCTAGCCCCACCTAGAAGTCTGGGATCAGATTTCTCACTGGTCTGGAAATAGCCGCATAGGCTACGATGGCCGACAGTAAGCCCCAGGGTTCCACTCTCTGGTTCATCAGTGCTGGGATTATAAATAGGACATCATGCCCTTTTTTTTAGTTTGGTTTGGTTTGTTTTTTGGACCTGGCTTCTGAGAGACCAAACTTAGGTCCTTATACTTGCACAGCAAGCAGGTTACTGAATAAATTATCTCCTGGATCCACCTTCAGTGTGACAGGAAATCACTATGTAGGCCAAGCTGGCCTTAGACTCATAGCAATACTCCTGCCTCAGCGTACAGGGATAACTGCCAAAGTCACACTTTGATACTAAGTGTATGTGTTACATATCGTCCTCTATATCCAAATTATAGATAAGAATAGATTCTTGTATGCTATATGTCTATATATGGTTTACTATAAAGTTTTTGACCATATTTACTATATAATGTGTATATTCCAAGGGTAAACGCCAACGCTGTCAATATGCACATTATGCCACTTTTTGTGATTTGTTTGTTTGTTTTTGTTTTTCACCAGGGTCTCTCTGTAGCTTTGGAGCCTGTCCTGGATCTTACTCTGTAGACCAGGCTGGCCTTGAACTCACAGAGCTCCATCTGCCTCCCCAAGTGCTGGGACTAAAGGCTTGTGTCGCTGCCACCCCCAGCCTGTTTGTGATTCTTAAACATAATATGTAGGGAATGGAGAGGCAGCTCTGCATTAAGAACGCTGCTGCTCTGGCAGAGGACTGGGCTCCATTTCCGGCCCTTACATGGTAACTCACATATAACTTCCCTCTGCTGACCTCCGTGGCCATTGCATGCACATGGTGCACACGCATACACTAAAGCACACACATACAAAATAAATTTTTAAAAAAGAGAGAGACTGGAACCAGGGGTACTGCTGAGCGCCTTTAATCCCAGCACTTGGGAGGCGGAGGCAGGTGCATGTCTGTGAGTTTGAGGTCAGGTGAATCTACACTGTGAGTTCTAGGAAGCCTGGGCTATGTAGAGGGACCCCTGACTTGAAGAAGGAAGAGGAGAGATAAAGGGAGGGGAGGGAAAGGAAGGGGAGGGGAGGGGAGGGAGGGGGAGGGGAGGGGACTCTAAACAGTTAAGAGTAGTTATTGTTTGCCAGGCTTTGGTGACTCAAGACTTTAATCCCAGCACTTGGGAGGCAGAGGCAGGCGGACCTCTGTGAATTCGAGGCCAGGCTGGTCTACAAAGCAAGTTCCAGGACAGGCTCCAAAACAATACAGAGAAACCCTGTCTCGAAAAATCAAAAAAAAAAAAAAAAAGAGAAAGAAAGAAACCAGCCTGTACCTATTGATGTAATCCTGTAACTTTTGTCTATAAAACCTAACAGTAGACAGGGAACTTCATTCCCTCTAGGGGCTGCTGCTGACATCTAGCCAGACAGGGTCCCTGTCATGGGTGGATGAACAATTAGAACCTTGCTTTTGCAGTTTAGTGGGTCTCTGGGGACTTTGCAACTTGGGCACAACAAAAATCTGTAATGGGATTTGGGGCCCTCTTCTTTTGTTTTTTGTTTGTTTGTTGAGACAGGATTTCTCTGTGTAACAAACAACCCTGTCTATCCTGGTACTCACTCAGTAGACCAGGCTGGCCTCGAACTCACAGAGATCCACCTGCCTCTGCCTTCCAAGTGCTGGGATGAAAGGCGTGTGCCACCACTGCCTGGCTCTGATTTCCTTTTCTAGTGCACATGAAAACAGATCCTTCACATACATAAAATAAATAAATCTTTGAAAATAGAAATCCCAGCACTCAGAAGGCAGAGGTAGGTGAGTCTCTGTGAGTTCAAGGACAGCTCCATGTACATGGTGAGTTCTAGGACAGACAGAGTTACACAGAGGGGACAAAGAAAGAGGGTGGGGGTAAAGGCACAGGCTTAACCCATGAGCTCCTCTAACCGTACGGCTGAGAGAGGCAGACACAAAAAGGATCACCCTGGCTTGTTGACTACCAGCCCAGATCCAGGCTCAGTAAGAGACCCAGTCTCAAAATAATACTGTGGAGAGTGAGAGAGAGGGACAACCGGTGTCCCCACAGGTGTCCCCCACTACACACATGAGCACACACACACACTCACACACACACACACACACACACACTCACACTCACACAAAGGAGACCAGTGAGAGCGCTCACTGAGTAAAGGCGCCTGATGCAAGCCAGACAACCTGAGTTGGTTTCCCAGTACCCACACGGTAGAGCAGTGGTGCTCAGCCTTCCTAATGCTGCAACCCTTTATTTAACCCAGTTCCTCACGTGGCGGTGACCCCCAGCCATAACATTATTTCCCTTGCCGCTTCACAACTGTGATTTTGCTAATGTTAGAAATCGCAATGTAAATATCTCATGGACAGGACAGCGGACATGCGACTCCTGTGAAAGGGTCTTTGAGAACTGCCGTGGTAGGAGGGAACTGACTCCTGCTTGTTGACCTCTGACCTCTGACCTCTAGCTGGAACCACCCTGCTAAAACACTGCTGGATCCTCCTCCCTCTCAATTTAGGTGTGGAGGCTTGAAGCTGAGGCAGGAGGATTGACTCAAAAATGTGGACAACCTGGTATTCATAGCAGACCCTGTCTCAGAAACAACAGGAATCTGGGGGTGTGGTTAGCTGGTACAGTGCCTGCCTGGCATGTACAAAGTCCTGGGTTCCATCCCCAGCGCCACATAATCTGGGCATGGTGACACACTCGGAAGGTGGAGGTCCGAGGGTCAAGGACATTCTAGGCTACTAATCATGCCGGAGGCCACCCTGGGATTCACCAGACCCTGTCTCAAAAGTGAGGGGGGACTGAAGAAATGGTTAAGTAGATAAGATGGCTTCCTGCAAAAGCATGAGGGCCTGTGTTCACGTTCACAGCAACCACACAAAGCCAGGCATGGCTGCAGGAGCCTGCAACTCTAGAGTTAGGAAGAGCTGAGACAGGTGGATTCCCAGAGCTGGCTGCACAGCCAGCCTGGGCAAAATATCCAGCTTCCAGAACAGTGAGAGACCTTGTCTCAATGTAACAAGGCAGAGGCCAACCCAGAAAAATATTGATGTCATCCTTTGGTCTCCACATATGAAGACACACTCAAAGATATACACACACTTCTGTGCATACATCACACACACACACTCACACACTCACATATACAAACACATTGGAGGATAATCCTAGCACTCTGGAGGTAGAGGTACAAGGATCCAAAATTCAAGATTATCCTTGTATTCTCTGCTATATAGCAAATCCAAGGCCAGCCTGGGCTACAAAAGACTCTAAATAGATAGATAGATAGATAGATAGATAGATAGATAGATAGATAGATAGATAGACAGACAGACAGACAGACAGACAGACAGATAAACACATACATAAATAAATAAATGCCGGACAGTGGAAACTCACATCTTTAATCCCAGTTTCCCTGGAACTGGAGTTACATGTGGATGCTGGGAACTGAACCCCAGTCCTGTGGAAGAACAGTCAGTACTCTTAACCACTAAGCCATCCAGTGCCCCACTTTTTAATATTTTTAACAGAGAGTCTATGTATCCCTGGCTAGCCAGGAACTCATCCTTTAGACTAGGCTGTCCTCAGACTGACAGAGATCTGTCTGCCTCTAGCTCTCCAGCACTGAGATTAAAGGCATACACCACTATGGCCTGCTATATATCTTATAATAGACCCTAGAAAAACTGCTACAGCC